GTACATATCTGTACAAACCTTCTTCATTATTCTTGTATCTCCAGCTTCTAAAATTACATATAGTGCTCTGAAACGTCTTTATAACATACGAGAGCAGGTGCTATCTGTTTGTTCATACAAAATAACTTTTCTGATTACATACATTCAATAATATCTACGGAGAGACTTATCTTTTAAAAATCACCCTAAAAATGTAGTAGTTATGGTAGAATACAATATTTTAAAGATTTTTACCGTGCATTTCAATAAAATTGAATTATTAAATTTATTTTATACTTTATTGTAGTTTTATTAATGAATGAGAGAGATTTGCATTAAAATTCTTCGAAATACAATGTTATCCCACGAATGTCATATTTTCAGGAAATAAATTTTAAGAAAAAATTCTCCCCGTTCACACGCACGCACGCATCCACGCACGCACGCACGCACGCGCACACACACACACACACACACGCGCGCGCGCGCATGCGTGCACACACAAAATTAATTCTCAATTGTATTATTAAAAAATATATATTAATAAATTTTTTTATGTCGACAGAAAAATTTTAATTTTTAATAAATATTTAAAAATTGGTAATTTTTGAAATTTTATATAGTTAACAGATGGACTTGTAGCACCCCAAACAGGACTTTCAACATCTACATCATGCACTAATGCGAGCAAATATATTCAAGAAGCTGCCACGCAAGTAACGAAAATATTTAACACATGCATTATAAAAATTAATAATTCAACTGATATTAAAGAATTGATCAATGCAACCAAAAATCTGCAAAATATATCAAAGAATTTTCAAGATGTTTTAAATTGTATTTACGATGAGAATATAGTTGAATGCCTCGGTTATGTAAGTATTTCAATTAATTTTAAAAACATTCTTTTTATAATAATTTATGAATATTTTTATAATAATACAAAATTTTTTGGTAATGTTCTCTTTAATTCTAATGCGTAAAAATGTTTATACAAAACTTTGACACTTTAATACATTAAATATATATTGTAACCTTTGCTTGTCTTTTCGACAATATTGGAGAAAAATTTTTACTATTAAATTCACATTTCGCTTAAATACTATTTAATATATTTGAATTATGTAAATTTTCATAATCAAATTTTCATGTATTTATAATACATTAATTATTTTTAAAATGACTTCATATTAATATTAATTATATTTTTATTAGGAGTTGCAAATATTATTTTGTACAAATTTTATATTTTTTATTTTATACAAATTTTATATTTTTTTTAAATTTAGTAACACGCCGATCAATACCGATCACTAATTCGGCAATAAAAGTTAAAATGTTATTCATAGGTGATCAGCATTTAATGTGTTAAATTATTATAATTGTTCAAAAAATTTTTAAAAGAATTTTAACATTTTTTTTTTTTTTAGGTTAAAAAGAATGTTTCCGAAATAATAACAAAAATTATAGATACGTCACATCAAACAGTCTTCGTTGTAAAAATGTGTTTGGAAACAGGAATTAAGCAATTAACCAACGAAGCTATGAGCCAAATCATCCAATCCGTGGATCAATGTGTCCAAAATTTTACTTTTACGCTACCATTTAAATTATAAATTATTTATGAATCAATGTATATTTGTATCTGCATTATAATATATATCAACATATATGAATAATATATATATGTATAATATATATAATATGTATAATATATATGTATA